TAACAACAGGAATAGTTGCATTCGAGCAACTACCAGTTGTTTGTTAGCTAGTCCTGAGGGCTTGTATTTTTAAAAAAAATATTATTACAAATTAATAGCTAAATAAATAGGCAAACAATCCCCCAACACCTTTCTCCACTCCTACGAGGGCATTGGTAGGAGTTGGGATTTGGGCGTACCCTTCTGTACCTGACACTGGGTATCATTCTGTTCCCCTTAGGGCTTTGCCTTTCGGAGACTATGTTCCCCCTATTGGTGATCACTTGATGCCAGTTATGAAGGAGAGTATATGGAGGGATTAATACGTAGATCTATTTGAATTACTAAATAGGCACATGGACGCTAAGGAGCGGGAGAAGGAGGATGAGGTAGAGAAAGAAAGGAGATGGCGCAAAAAGCCAGAGTGCACCTGGGCCAATCGGTTGCCGGGATTTTTGATTTATGCAGGTATAATTGTGAAGGCACAACCTTTGGTCCATGATTATTCCTCAGCATGGTTGGAGAGCCAACTGCAATGCTAGTTGCATTAATACAGCACGTAGGAAAGTTAATAAGGAAGTTTGCAGAGCAATGGTTAATGGCTTATGATCAGTAATAGGACACCCAGAGATCCAATTGGACCAACCAGAGCTTTATAGAGGTGATGGGGTTCATTTATCTGAGGCTGGTTAAAAGATTTTCTTGAGGGATCTTTGTAGGGGCCTGTGTGCTGAAATCTTTGGCTGGATGGGGGGAATGGAGCATAACAAGCTTACCCATTCCATGGCGGGTAATGCGGAAGGAAACTGAATTGGTGAGTGCCCATGGAGTTCAAGCAGTGCATAGCGGGTCTGAACCTTTGGCGCTGCAGATTGTGAGGTTACAGTGCTGAGACCAAAGACCTGCTGGGGCTCTCCCTGGGTTGATGGCTGCCAAAGGATGGGGGCTTGCATGCCTGGGGGAAGCTTGATATTTTGCCAGCCGGGATCATGCTCTCTTAGGGACAGCACAACAACGGGGTGTGGGACTCGCCCATATAGGTTGGAGAGGGGTCCTGTGAGACCTTTGGCACCAAACCTGATACCGTGCTACCGCAGGCCCCTGGTTTCTAAGCCATAAGTTACAGCATGTTGATTTAATAAAGTGTGGCCCTATTTATACTCATCAGCTGCATCTCGCCTCATTATTCCAGAGTGGGAGGGCAAAGGAGCTGTGCTGGCTGTCAACGCACACACATGCACACACACACACACATAAACTTATCTGTGTGGTTACAAACCCTGGACTTTACTCTAGTACAGGGATAGATAATATGCCACTCACAGGTATATGTTGCCCCAGGGACATTTTAAGAACCCCTCCCCCCCGGTCACTTCAGAACTCCCCCACAAAATTCTTTTTTTCCCCTCTCTCTCTTCTTGTGGCAGCTCTTTTCAACCTTTGGGGCCTTGGACTCCTCTGTCCTCCAACCCCACAATAAGAACTGGGTATTTCCATTGAAATACTTATTTTGTTTGTCTGTCTGTTTTGTGGGTGTGGGTGTGTTGATAGTTTTATTTCCAGGCTTGGTAGCACTTGTAGTGCAGCCTACGGGACTAGAATCTGCCCTCCACCCGCTGGGATTGCCTATCCCTGCTTTAGGGACTTGGGTCACAGGCATCATCCTACAGCATCTCTCACACTGCGGCCAATAAGGACAGAAGTGACTTTCATTCCTGACTTGCGTGGTTTTCTTAGGGGTTTTAAGAAACCCTCCAAAACCAAAACACTTCCAATCTAGCCTCAACAGTGGGATCTGCTGTTAGGAAAGCTAGGGCAACTGTAGATGGGGATGAGGACTCGTGGGACTTGCTGGCAAGTTGGACTTAAGTCGCAGCAGGGACTCAACGTGAACCTTCCCCCCCCCTCCAATGACTTGGGGTCAACCCATGACTCAGAACCCACCCACCCCTCCTTTTTTTTCTGGAGAGAAAAACTTGTTTTTAATTGGGACTCAAACTTGGGGCTTGAGACTCAAGACTTGGTACCAAAGATTCAGACTCGGATGTGGAGCAGAAGACTTGCCAACATCCCCGCTATGGATGGAACAGGGATCCCTTTGATTTCTTTTTCTTTCTTTCTCTTTATAACGTTGCCGTTATTAAAAAAAAACCCAAAGCTACAGGAACATTCCCAGAATTCCTGACATATGGGGAAGGTCATCATCCTGTATAGAATTAAAACTACCACCACTTTTACCAAATTCAGAAACATGACAAAGCCATCGGCGGACAGGATTGTACCATACTGCTCATTCCCCCCAGTCTTGCCCAGTTAAGTATACAGTGGGGGAGCAGGATACACGTGCCATACTAACCATTCTTCCAGCTTCTGCAAATGCACGCTCACTTTATAAGAAAACAACCGCCACGCCAGAGGCCAGCCCCCTGCCCATTCCCTGAGTAGTTATTATTCCACAGTAGGTCGTTAAATGTGCCTTCAGGTTTGGATGCATCTGGATACAAGAGTGCCTCCTTTGTCAGACCTTCTGCTGCAATTTCAAGGCTTAAATGTATATAATACTGCTTTTATTTGGCATATTACACACACAGCTCTACACAGCTCATCTCTTCAGGCTCCCCTATTGAAGTGGCCCTTAAAGGAAAGGTGGTCTGGATAAAAATCAATGCTTTTTGCTTGCAGCCAAATTTACTGCAGTGAATGAAAGCCAACGTCTATTGACATTTCTGGCAGAGAATTTAACAAAAGAGCAGCTCGGGAAAATACAATCCCCCCCCCCCATGCTAGCCTGAGCTTAACTGCTGAGCACAGCACATAACAGTAGCAAGGAAATCATTACCAAACTGAAATGGAATAGAGGTGACTTGGGGATATTAATTTTGGGGCAGATGCATTATAGTAGCTTCTTTCTTTTTTTAAATGTGGCTCTTAAATCACACGCTGAATGTTTCTCAGACTTGGAAGCCACACAATGCAGAGTTATGCAAGTTAGATAAGCAATAATAGGAGGTCTATGGACTATATTTGGTTCTGGGGGCAGCTTTTTCTTCCATTCCCACATAGGATTCCCCACCACCACCGCCACTCTAGCTCAAAAACATTGTGTGCAAAAAGGCCACATGTTACCACAACTTCCAGGGACCATGCTCTCCCGTACTACAACTGAATTTGGTATGGCACTAAAAAACAAAACAAAATTTGCTGCTTATATTCTGTCTCATAGCACTTAAAAGCACTCTCTGGGTGGTTTATAATTTAGTTATGTAGGCTAGACATTGCCTCTCGCTCCTCAGCAAGTTGGATACTCAGTTTACTGACCTCAGAAGGATGGAAGGCTGAGTCAACCTTGTACTAGCTACCTGAGTCCTGGACTAAACCAAAGTCATGAGTAGAGGTTTCACTGCATCATGATGCTCAGTAACCACACTTTCCCTTCCAACACAAGAGGGAAGCATGATTTTTTAAAAAGCCAATCATAATTCCAGACTTTATTGAATAAGTGAACATGCTGAGTCTGTGAGAGATATAATCCAAATACAGTGGTGCCCTGCTTGACGACGACCCCGCTCGACGACGAAATCGCTTGATGATGAGTTTTTTGCGATTGCTATAGTGATCATAAAATGATGGTTCCTATGGGTTTTTTTCGTTTTATGTTGATTAGGTGCCTGCTTTGCAAACCGTTTGTTCACAAAACGATGTTTTTTCCGGCTCCGCAAAATGGCTTCCCTTCGCAAAATGGCTTCCCTCCCTTCACAAAATGACTGTTTTCTGGACAGACACTTCGGAAGACAGTGATTATAAACAGCTTATCGGCGGTTCTCTATGGGCAGTCTTCGCTGGACGATGAGGTATTTCCCCATTGGAACGCTTTAACTGGTTTTCAGTGTATTCCAATGGGTTTTTTTCTGATTGACGATGATTTAACTTAACAGCGATTTTCCTGGAACGGATTATCGCCGTCAAGTGGGGCACCACTGTAAGTCATCTTTCCAATCTCTGGCACACGTAGTATAAGGCAGTTGAGATTCTGCTAATCAGACTGTCATGACTTGTGGTCTAATTAGGAGTGTGCAGAAGAACATGAAGATTGGGAGTAAGCCACACTGTACCTTTCAGGAGATATTCAACTTGCTCTCTTCCTACATCTTTGCAAGGCTTGAACCACAGAAGGTGACATTATGTATTTCCAAATCTTTGTGTTAAAAAAAATTACACAAATGGGAGAAAAATGCAAATGGCTATGACCTGAGGGGTTTACACAACGCCTAATCATGTGGTCCGTCCACACAAAGCTCATACAGCTAGCATCCTTCCACTGTCACATATATACTTGATTCTAACAGGATAATACTAATTCAGTAAAATTTCGAAAATTAAACTGAGCAAAAAAACTAAGGAAAAAAGTTCAGAATGGAAAAAAATGGTATAAACAGAGACGTGATCATGGTTGATCATTTTTAAAAACCCACAAATGTGATATAGGATTGGCACATGTCTACTGCGTACATCAGAGTTCCCAACCTTTTTTGAGTTGCAAGCCCCTTTTGTAACAGCCAAGTAACCTGCAACACTCCCTACATTATGTTTACATAAAAAGGCATTTTTAAGCAGAGTAAATCCCTTCTCAGAAAGTATAAGCTTCTTTCTCTCCAAAAGGACCTGTCTCTTATACAGACACATATGGACTAACTATAATATCCCTCTCCAAAAGGGTAAGGAAGAACTTATTTAACAAAGGCTACAACACAGTAAAGCCCTCAGAAGACACTTTGTGAGCCTCTTGGAGGTCATGACTTCCAGGCTGGGAAACACCGATCTACATTATCTTGGAGATTTGGCAGACAATGAGGCTGTTGGCCTTTCTCTCCACTGTACCCACCTATCATTGATGGTGCAAGAGAGAGGATGGTCCATGCAGCAGTTAGTTCAACTGTTGCCAGGTGATGGGAAGCAACCAATATGGATGAACAGGGCTCTATGAAGTCACAATCTTTACCAGCAACATTCTCTGTTGCTGCTCCCAGACTTTGGAACTCCCTCCCACAGGAGGCCAGGTTGTCCTAATCTTTGCTGTCCTTCCGCAAAATCTTTTTCTTCCTGAAAACTTTTGCTCAGTTTCTGGTTACTGCTTTGAAAGTGTTTTTGGTGCTTCCTTTGTTTACTGTCTTTAGTGTAGTATTTGTTTGATCCTTTGTAGTATTTGTATACTTACCTTTTTTTAGATTTAATCTTTTTTTAATTATGTAAACTGCTTTGGGTCCTTCTTGAGGAGAAAGGTGGGGTAAAAATATTTTAAATGAATAAATAGTAAATATGATCATCTTCATAACCACTTGTTTTTGAAGAGATAACCAGTTTTCAGCTTGTCCATAACTATAGACAATGCCGATGCTTGCTTTGTCCCCAGATTGCTAGTCCCCTTGTATAATTTTACAAGATCATGGCCAAAATCACATTACATGACTATGCCTGTGTAGCTGAGTTGGGCAATTGCTTGCAAAAACTGTGCAAATGTGGAAGTCAATCAAATAAGCTGTTCCACAGTTGTACAATCAACTGTACTAATAGGCACACAGGGCAGACGACTCAGTTTAATGTCCTATGAACACTGGCAGGTGTTGCACTACGCCATGTGTAAAAGGATTACAATTGAAGTCTGGCCATCTTGAAGAGATTGAGTAGCATGGCAAAATTTACTTCTGGTCCCCGACCAAAAGCAGCGTTGAAGAAGTATGTTGGCCACCACAGATGAAATAAACTTTTGTATTAATGCTCCCCACTCTTGTTCTTTCTCATACATGTACTTTATTCTTTAGTTATATCTTGACTCACAATGACATTTCGACACAGAGATTTGTCAGTGCCTAGAAATAAATTGCTACATTTTTACTGGAGCCCATCTGGCAGATGATTAAAACAGAGGCATACTTACTGAAGCTGTACCAACACTTACTCATAATCTTATATTGCTGATTAAAGGTGTTTTACTTTCATGCCTCTGCTCTTTAGGGCGTTGTAACCTGAAACCAAAATGTCAGCATGAAGGATTCACAGGCCTGTTAAGCACCAACTCCCATTCTGAAACACAGTTCTGAACTTTTTCAGGCAGTGCTTTATGTTATATTTGTGACTCTCTACAAGGTAAGGGACATGGTGGCGCTGTGGGTTAAGCCTCTGTGCTGCAAGGTCAGAAGACCAGCAGTCGTAAGATCGAATCCACGGGACAGAGTGAGCTCCTGTCGCTTGTCCCAGCTCCTGCCAACCTAGCAGTTCAAAAGCATGTAAAATGCGAGTAGATAAAATAGGTACCACCACGGTGGGAAGGTAACGGCGTTCCATGTCTAGTCATGCTGGCCACGTGACGACGGAAACTGTCTATGGACAAACATTGCCTCTACAGCTTGGAAACAGGGATGAACACCGTGCCCTAGAGTTGGACACGACTAGACTAAATGTCAAGGGGAACCTTTACCTTTACCTTACTAGGTAAGTGCTAATGAGATAACTTCTAGAAAATCCTTCTGTAGTCCGGATTACACCCTCAGCCATCTGCATTTGCAGAAGTACCGTATTTGCTGGCATACAAGGTGACTTTTTTGGCCCAAAAAACATGCCTCCAAGTGGGGGGATTGTCTTGTACGCCGGGTGCACTTCATTTGGGTCAGGAAGGAGCTGCCGCTGGGGAGGAAGGCAGGCGGGCGGGCGGGCAGTCAGTCAGTCAGAGTGGCCAGAGCCCGCCGCCCCGCGCCGCTGAGCCAGCCACGCGCTAGCTCGCCCGCCACCTGCCCGCTTCCCCTCTTCCTCCTCCTCCTCCTCTTCCCACCACCCACCCAGCCTCTTCCCCTCTTCCTCGCCCTCTCGGTGCTTGCACCAGCTGCGCGCGTGTGCTTGCCCACCCGCAACCCCCCCGCTTCCCCTCTTCCCCCCTCCTCCTCTTCCTCCTCCTCCTGGCGCCACCTGCCCAGCCTCTTCCCCTCTTCCTCGCCCTCCTCCCCACCGGCCAGGGTGGGCCCGGGCAGAGCCCTGGGCAGCCGCAGCAGAGCCGTCCACTCTATATTTTGAGTGGAAATGCTGGGGGGGGTCATCTTATACGGCCAATCGCCTTGTACACCTGCAAATACGGTACTAACAATGGCATTGAATGCACTTTGGATAGCATGCAGTACATCACTTTACCTCAGACGTCCAACACACAATTACAGTATTAGAGTTCAAGTCTCCTTAAGATGGACTCAGGACCAGACCCCGACCTTTTGCTGCTTCAAGTGGATGGTGTCCCCTTCCATTCCATACTCAGATGTTTACTGGACAAACAACAGAACCTTTTTCTAGCAGGGGCTATTAGACAAGGTTCTCCACAGCATCTGAGGGTACACGATTAACTGAAGTGGTGCAAGACAAGCCATGTGGCTCTTCTCCAACACCTTGCTAGTGCCTTCTAACATCTGCCACCTAACATGATGACTTTACTCTGCCTAGTATGGCAGACCCTGTTCCAAAAGACAGATGTGAGGGAGGGAAGGTACATATGATTTTCTTTTCCTGAGCAACAGTCAGATAGTGAATACACAGAGAAGAAAACGTGATGTAATTTTGATTTCTAGCTTTCCTTATCAGCTGAAAAATGGACCTTAAAATTATGATCTGTGCATTGCAGAGATTTCTCTTGAAAGTGCCGAGGCATACATTTAAATTTGATATTCCCTTACAATTGTATTGGCCAAATTAAGTTTGATTGGCACTAATATTCTAACTATTAGCCTTTATATCACATATGCAGCACTAAGTACTTATTTCACAGCCATAAAATTAAAACACAGAAAGCATAATGATCCAACTTATAATATTAGCAGACACCTGTTTTTACTACATCAAAGCCCTTTTAATTAGGCGCTTATTAAAATAAATTATCACTCTACAAGAAATGTCACACAAAATTTTGATGTGGATTTTAAAACAATTTAAAAAGTGGCCCAATATCCCACTATAAGGAAGCAAGAACAGGTATCGTATGAAGCAGGCCCAAAGAACTTCCAGCGGTCTGGAGACAACAGCTTGGCAGGAACAAGAAGGGCTCCTGTCTACAGCACTCAACCACATCTGCCCCTTTTTGTGTCACCTTCCATGGACTACAACAGTCTCTAGTGTAAGGAATCTGAGGAAGTAAGTGGGTTGTAATACATGAAGGCTCATATTAAAATAAGACAGCTGATTTCAAAGCTGCGAGGAGTTTTTCTCTTTCCTTTTTGTTGCACCAGGCAGCACTTAGAGGGGAGAAGGGAAAGCAAAGCACTTCTGGCGGCACTCTGGAATTCTGCAGTTTATCTAAGTGCACACAGGTGGCACATGACTCTGTCAGCCACATACACGCCAACTGATTTTGGCTGGCACCCCTCTCAGGAAGCACAGGGAAGATTCAAACTCCTGGCTTCTGGATCCCATAGCCAGGTGCTCCAATCCATTAATCTATACTAATTCCCATCGGGTATAACAACCTAAAATGCCTTTTCCCCTCCCAAATCGCATTTGGACCTTTGGCTGCTTATTGTTTCAGCCCCCCCCCAAGTTTTGGTGTCCTGTATAGCCCCAAGGGAAGGTCAGGGGGCAGAAAATTCACCCTTTGAACCACCCAAGTTGTTCTGCACTAAACACAGCCAAGTATTAACTGCTCAATTCATGCATATTTCTGGGCTTTTAAAAGAAAGGCATATACAGAATCAGCAACATAATTTACACCCAGGTGGCCTCAACAGGTCTTAGTGTGGAAAATAATGCTTATTTACATTGCCAACATACACAGTGGTGCCTCGCAAGACGAACGCCTCACAGGACGAAAAAACCACAAGACGAATGGTGTTTTGTTTTTTTTTCAATCGCTATGGTGCGTTGCAAGATGGCTTCTTCTAAGGCTGTGCTTCGTAAGATGGTTCCCCCCCCCCCCGAGCCTGATGCCCCCCAAGACGAAAAAAATTCATTTTTCTTGCCAGGTTCCCATAGGAATGCATTGCAATGTATTCCTATGGGAAGCTGCTTTTCGCAAGACGATTTTTTTGCAAGACAGCGGTACTCACGGAACGAATTATATTCATCTTGCGAGGCACCACTGTATTAGTATAATGGATGAAGACAGAAGGAGAACACTGGGTATAACTATAAATCTTGTAATTTATGGCTTAACTTCTATTGCCATGAGAGGATTCAGAGCTACAAGTGAAAGAATCTAGTCCACTGTTTTCCATCTGGTTATAAACATAAGAGTCCCAAACTTTATAATTCAATGGATGGGTTCAAATATGTAAGATTGCAGCACTGGATTTAAAACACAGGTAGCATACCTCACTTCATTCAGGGCAACCCCTTTTAGATTTACATTTTTGTTAATATAGAAAATTTTAGTGTAATATAAAACTTGTAAGATCCAATATAGCAGCAAGCAGTGTGGAAGGGGAAGGAAAACAGTCACATTAAAAGTTGGCCCATGACCTCTACAGGAAGAAAAGCACCTCAGCCTATACCGGTGCGGTTAGTCCCTCTTGCTTGTATCACAAGTTGCTGGGATGTCAGTCCCAAACTCCTCTATGCTCATTACACATGGCCCTCACAGACCGCAATCTTTTGTTTTCATGCATGGAAATGTCTCTATATTTGTCTTGCTAGCTTTCAAACTGGACATATTATTTCTATATGGTTCTCTGAAGAGATACACCTCATTTTCTATGTACTTCTTTCATGGAGAAAAGTACTTCTGGCATACCTTTTCAATTTATTACTATTATTTTATTTATCCCTACTCCAAACATTTATATTCACCTTGAAAATATATGAATGTCCTGAGATATGTTCTGTTCTGTTTTGTCTTAGGCAGTGCAGCTTGGTTACTCTCATATTAAAATGTTTAAACACAAATTTCTCACCAAGTCATAGGAATCATACAAATATTTGAATCCATATTATATGAATCCTGACTCAAACCCACTCTTTTTATTCTCTTATTTTCCCAGATAGGACAGAACCATTTTTAGTCTGGTTGTTTGAAAGCACACATCTACGAGGCAACCAATTTCCAAATGCCACTGTGACACAGAATAAAGAAAAGTTGCATTCAGAAAACTCTTACTCATTTATGTTCTGGCTGACTTAGGCAGCTATAGTTGATACCACATCACTGTCAATCCAAAAGTTGGAGAGTTATGTTCTTCAGGGCATACATCTGTTGTGTCACAGCAGTTTTTGATGTTGCATCACTCACATTTACCTATGCATGGCCATGTTTGTCTCTCCTTGAGGAACAAGGGTACACTCCCACCTTTCCTGCTAAGTCCACCAATTGGCTTGGCTGCAATACACATCCTTTAGGGCAGTGGTCCCCAACCTTGGGTGTCCAGATGTTCTTGGACTATACTCCCAGAAGCCTTCACCACCACCTCTGCTGTCCAAGATTTCTGGGAGTTGAAGTCCAAAAACATCTGGAGGCCTCACTGCTTTAGGGATTTCAGTGTTTTATAGACTTCAGAAAGGAGAAAGACAGCAGGTGAAACTAGGTATTCTCTTAGCAAAGATAAGTTCCAGTCACATGTTTGTCATGATAACAGAAGTGGGCCTGTAAGAGAAGGTCACTGATTTCCTGCCCATGGCTGCTTTGTCTCCTCTGCACAAGGCTGGTTGAACCTTCCCCACCATCAGCTGCGCTCACTGCCCATTTTGGGACACAGCGGGAAGCAGAGAGGAAAACTTAAAACTACCATGGGGCATTTTCGGGAGAAGAGTTGGTAAGTAATAGTTCCACCAACGAATATGCCCATACAAATTGTCTTCAACCCATGCATGAACATTATAGGGGAAGCAAACAGCAAAGAAACCAGTTATCTCCTTTCACTGTCTTATACTGCTCAGTGTAAATCACATACCCTTACTTTCTTGTTTATTTAAAAAAGCAGTTGTTTAAAAATGGGCTGAAGTATTTTCAATCAGCTCATTTTTAAAGTGCTTGTGTACTGGTGTTTAATATTTTGACAGTGCAGAAACAGAACAGCGTCACTCATGCATATATATCACTTGATTTCACTACACTTGCTGGCAGCTGAATGTGTGACCTGACCTTGGCAAAAAGCATTGCATCTAAAGTGATATAAAAGTTTCTGTGTAGTGTTATGGCCTAGGTGCAGATGCACGGCATCAAGTGATGAATATTCATCTATGAAACAGCAATTTTACCTGCAATCAAGGCTGAGAGTTATGGAAGGAATGAAAGCTGGAGAGGGCGAGTGTTGTGATGTGTATCAGTGTATTAAGAGAAGGGAAATGATACCCATCAGAACACCTTTAGTGCTCTCCAAAACAAGGGTGGTGATCTATGCTCTCTCAGAGGTTTTCTGGTGCCAAATCTATGAAGTCCTAAACAACATGGCCAATAAAGATAGTAGGAGTTATAGCCCAAAAGAGATGCTTGTCATAGCTTAGAGGGAAAATTCACACCAGCATGATAGTGATCCTTCCTGGACTAGATGAGTATTGGGTGAGATGATTTCTCCCCCTGCCTGCAAGGGCGGGGGAATCAATACATGCAGAAAGTTTTATATGAGAGAGAAGGGTTATGTGGTGTAATCTGGAAGAATATTCAAACATGTTGTGTCTCCACATACACTACGGGTATGTGGCAAACTTCAATTTAAGCAGTTCAGAATGCAATTGTCTCTCTATAAAAAGCCTCTTGCTAATACAGTATAAAGAAATGCCAGAGCCTTTCAAATATGAGCCATGATTTCATTTGCTTCACAGCAGGATGTACTCAATCTTCCATTAACACCAGCACCATCCACCTCTCTTGCCTTCTATCCCCCCCTCACGTTGAAGCTCCTTCCTTTTCTCCCAGCTGATATGAAAAGCAGACGAACACAATGACAACAAACCCTCCCCGATTCACCCTCTCTTGAGGAACCACAAGTGATGTGTAGTCCTAGACAACTGGATTTCCCAATATATTCTGCATCTGGTATACTGGTAGTAGATTATTCTAGGTGCTGTGACAAAGGAAAGAGACTTTGCTGCCATCCTCACTTTTTCTTCCAGGGAAGAAAGGAGAAGGGCAGAAGTGTAGCAGCTACAAAATTATGGGAGAGAGGATGAGTGATCGAACCCACTTGCTTTTTGCAGTTATTCTTTGCAAGAGCCCTCAAAAGCCTTTGGGGGCATTCCTCTTCCTAACCTACATGCTTACAAAGAGACCTTGTACAGGAGAATATTTTAGAAAGTGAATGGAAACTGAGGTGAGTCAAAAGAAGTTCAACATGTATTACTGTTTGTGCTTTCACTGAAGTCTAAAGCCCTATTCAGATATTGGCATTGTATTGTGTTTGTGTATTCTGCAAAGTCCTGTGCGCAATAAACTGAACTAGTTCTAGTCTAGTTCGCTCTGTTCAAACACTGCACCAACTAGTTCAAGAAAACATATGCAAGACTCATCTGCTTCACCATTGCTCTCTACCTACAAAGAAGTTACACCTGGAAATGCAGCTCTTCAGCCTTTTGATGTGAGTGTGAGGAGAAAATGCAAGGAGGAGTGCTCCCACTCCTTATGTGGCTATTTTAGCCTGATACTGAATAACTGAATAGTTCTGAATGCTATTTCTACATATTTGAACTGGTATCTTGTTGTTGGCTTTCTTCACTATGCTATCAAAAGTGCTGAAGCAACTGTTTTTTTTCCCCTTCATCCTCCCCAACCCCATGTCCAGTGTTCCTCTTATAAAAATAAACATGGAGAATGAATGAAGCTAGTTGTTTCAAAGTTGCTGCTTTTTAATAATGAAGCATACCATATTGGATACAGCATCATGCAAATGTATACACCATGCTTTAAATGAAATATAGCCTCCTATACTCTTATATATTGTGTGCAAGATCCATTCCCAGTAATATACAGTGCTACTAAAAACCGTACATCGTATCTTCAGGGACCTTGTTTCTGCTATATATTCACAAGTCCTTGTGCTTCAGATGTAATAAACTTTTACTAGTGTGTAAGACAGCATTATATCTTATGTGCTTTTGGAACTGGGAGTGATAAGCCCCGATTATTAACAGGACTAAAGACTAATGATGCTTTAACAGAACTATTGAAGCAAAGGGAAGCACTGACCATTCCCTTTCCCCCACACTCAACCAACCCAAGCCATCTATTTACTTCTCCACACATTAAGAGAAAGAGCCAAGGTTGCTTTATAGCCCATACATTACACACGCTCATACAAAGTACAGTTGCCCTGAAACCTTTCTTGAAGTTGAAATTTCAAGCAAATCTATGGGACTTTTTGGAGTCAAGCCAGTTATATAAGTATCTAAAAATTTAAAACAATGTTCTCAGGAATAGGGAACTTTTGGCTCTTCAGATATGTTGGAATACTACTCCCACAATCCTGTACTGTGGTCCATGATGCAGGGACTGATGTGGACTGTATGCCAAAAAAAACTGAAGAACAAAATGTTTTGGCTCATGCTCTAGACTGCTGCACCTGTGATCATGTGTCTTCTTTATTAGAGAAAAATCAGGTCCATGTCAAGGCAGAGCTTGACAAGAATGCCCTGCAAAGTGGATCAACAAACACCAAACTGTATAGCTCCCCCAATGTAGCAACAAACATATAAAACACACCAGAAACCAAGGACAGCACTAGTATTGTTGGGATAGAACACCAATATTTAAATACAGATGTTTCTATTTGCTCCTCCACTTTAGCCAGACAGAGGGTCAAAGCAACAAACATGGAAGCCAGCTCTCTAGCATTCTGTAATAAGTGTTAGAAATCTCCTGCACTAAATGGATTTTTGATTTAACAGATAGTGGCCACTATTGCGTTCAATGTTTGCATGCACAGAACTCCAACTGCAGAAATCATTATAGTAATCCAACAAGGTGCAACTTTCTGTTTCTGCACGGCTGGTCACTGTTCCACAATGTTGGAGTTTTGTGTGTGTCAACACTGAATAGGAGTTTGGCCAGTATGCTTTATGTGTCATTATTCCTGTTTACTTCAAGAAAGAAAGATCCACGATAATAAAACCAAATCCAAAATAAATATGCAAGTAAAAACTTTATTACAATCAACTGTAAATTCACAAAGTACACCCATAAAAAAACACAAGCTTTTGATTTCTCCAGAACTTTTCATCAGGTGGTGAGGGACAATGGGGAAGCCCAGAAGCCCAGAAAACATGTCCAGAAGTGTTAAACCATGGAGATCTGCAATTAAACTAAGTCACAAAGTGAGTCAGAGAGGGCTTGAGTCAAAAGGTCCTGTAGGTACTGTATGACACGAGAGTCACACAAATATCACTGAGTCCCACTGAGAAGATAATATGGAGATCCTTCCATTCTGAAAACCTAAAGAAAGCTACAGATCATGCCACTGCATACAGCTAGTAAATACTAAGTAAACATAACAGTCACGACTGCAACTTCTCAAGTAGCACAGAATAATTAATACTGGAACTGGAGGTAGGCAGAATAATTTACTGGAACTGGAGGTGTTTTTCAGTGGGCATGAGAGAATGTTGGTGCAAACCTACTAAGAGATACATGTCCACAATATGAAGAAGCATTTATTTGATGCAAATGCAATTACTCATCTGCATGACTTAAAGCTATAGTAAGAGCAAACAGTGTCTGTCCAGTGATGTTGATGAGATCTGAGAATTCAAGACTCATTTTGAAAACTAGTGGAAATTCCAAAGGCAAAGAATTTCAGGATTATATCCAAGACTTCACCCTTCACATGTTTTAACTTCATTATGTTTGGTGGACCTCTAAACATGCATATATAGAATGGCATTTGGTATGGTTTAGCCACCAAGTGCGTCTCCTGTGGGATTATTCAAATGGGATCTAGAAATGCTGAACTTTGGCTGTAATGTTTGCAACGGTGTGGAATTTTATACTTATACTGTATCTTATGAACATTCTTCATGTAGAGTTAGACATTTGTCTCTGTTGGTTGAGAAGGGGAAAGAGAGAGAGAGAGAGACAGAGAGAGAGAGATGTCAGTACTATTAAAACAATTCCCCTAAGAATCTCAGAATGACAGTTTGATACCAATAAGAAATACTGCCAGGTAGAAGTGGCGTACCAATATGTTCGTACAGAGGACTGACTTGTATTATTTTGAATGTGGAAAGGAAAAAATGAGGGTTGAAAACAAATGGAAAAATACATGGAGGTAATATGTTTAAATGCTTTAATTTCCCCAGAGAACTAAGGGGGGGGTGTCAGTTTCCATTCACTGATTATATGTTTATTGAAGAGAAGCCCAGTTTCACGCATTACACAGTAAACTAATCCATATTCTAAGGTAGGGATTATTGGAAGGGAAACAAGGTTAACATCAACTCCTTGACAAACAGTCCTTTACAATATCCGTATTTTCAAGTGCTTGTTTGTCACATTCTGTGAGACAGGGGGGCGAGAGAGTGCGAAGGAAGAGGCTGACTCTCTCACCAGAGTGCTGTCCCTCTCCTTTACAGTTGAGAAAGAGGTACAGACCTTGCCCACCTCATCTCCTGAGAGAATGGAGCAGCGAGGGACAGACACACAGGAAATGGAGGGAGAAATATGAAAGTTAACTGTCAAAGGAACTGAGGGAAAAACGGTGGGAGTTAGAGCAGAAGAAAAGGGTGGAGAGAGAGGCAGGGGCAGCAGACATAAAGAGGAGGGAGGGACAGTTGCCACCAAGTCTGGATGGAGGACCCTG